TTAGCGGCTTAGGGTTTAGGGCTTCAGGGGTTTAGGGCCGGTTTAGGGTTGAGGGATTGGCAGGATCTAGGGCTGTGGGGTTTGTTCTCCCTCAATCCGAAACTCTAGATGGTAAAGCCCTCCCCCGGGAGCCCTTGCCGTTCCAAACTTAAACCCCAAACGAGCAAAACCTTAGACCCCAAAGAAACAGAGAAATGCTGAAACCTGAATCTTAAACCATACCTTATACGCGAACTCGGAAACCCCTCTGCGCAACCCTCCCGTGCGCCTAAGAAAGGTTCCCGCCGGAGCCAACAAGCGGGAGCGGAGCATGGCTAGAGATGTCGAAGCGCTTTATCAGAAGGTATGTGATGCTTTAGCGGGCCTTGCAGGGAAGGCATCTGGGTTCCACACATATTCAAAGGGTTTTTTGGCTACCAGGGGTTTGAACCCTAAACCCCTAAACCCTAAACCCCTAAACCCCTAAACCCCTAAACCCCTAAACCCCTAAACCCCCAAACCCTAAACCCCCTAAACCCCAAACCCTAAGCCCTGAACCCTAAACGCCACACTCTGGACTTTGGAGCTCGAGGATCTGGGCTTAAGAAATAGCGAGTGGGGAGTCGATGGAACGATTTGCTGTTTAGGGCCTTAGGTTTGAGGGTTTAGGCTTTAGGGCTTAGGGTTTATGGCTTTAGGGCTTTGGGGCTGAGGGTTTGGGGTTGGTCGCTTAGGGGTTAGCGTTTAGGGCTTGGGGGTTTAGGGTTTAGGGCTTGGGGTTGCAGGGTTCAAAGTAAGCTTAGCCCTGCCTCGGGCTTTTGGGGTTTAGGGCGTTTGTTCCAACTCGGCTTTTGGGCTTTGGGGCCTAGACATGTCTCTTGCGAGAGGGTTACCGTCGGCGGAGGGAACATCTTTAGGCTCTTTGGGGCGCAGGGGCTGGGCCTAGGGCATGTTTAGCGATTTAGGGTTTAGAGACTCTGCACAGCTGTGCTCATCCATACGTCTCCTCGGCCGAAATTGCATAGCAGGTTATCCATAATCCACAACCCCTCGGAGCATGACTCATGCGAAAACTTGCAGCAGGGCGTTGCGTAGGGACCTCAATGATTTGAAGGGGGGTTGGAGGTAAATTCAGTAGATTAGGGCTATATCGGGAGTATAAAGGGAATAGGACTACTACTCACTCCGGCCCCGATAGTAGTCCCGCAGCGTATTTTCACATCGTCCGAGCTCATGGGCTTAAGCACAGCCTGCAGGATAGGGTGCGGGTGAGAGACAGGTGAAGGGCCTTTGGATTAGGGTTGCAGGGTTCAGGGTTCTAAGGTTTATGGTTTAGGCTTCAGGTTTTAGGGCTGTTGGGGTCTGGGGTTTAGGGTTTAGGGGTTTAGGGCTCTCTGAAAGGATCTCAATGCCTACCTAAGCCCTGAGCCCTCAACTCGAACACCCCCAATGCCCTCAAGCCCAAAACTAAAAAGTTCTCCTGGGCACTAAACCCCTTGAGGCCCTCTTTGAACCCTAGACCTGTTGCACCCAATAGCTTCTTGAAGCCTGACCTCTGTTAAACCCCAGGCCGACCCTTAATCCTCTTGAACCCAATGCCCTTCTATGCCCTCAAACCTCAATACCCTGAAACGCCCCAAAACCCTGATTCGCTCAATCTTACACCATATCACCCTAAGCGTTCCCCCCACCCCCACCCCAAAACTCCCATTGCAAGTCCCTTACAATAACCCTGCACCCTACTGCTCTAAGCCCCCAATCCTCACCCCCCGCAACCCCCCAAACCTTCCCTTCCCTTTTTCCGCCGACAACAGGAAGCCCCTGTCGCTCAGAACTTCCTCCGCCACAGCGATCCTTCGGCTCCGGCGACTGGGTCAAGCCTTTAAAAAAGCAGCTGACCCAGCCAGCATTACATCGAAGATGCCAGAAGTTCCAACAGAGCCCAATCCCCCGTAATGAAGGAATAGATTTTGAATCACAATCAAGCCATTTATAAGTTCAGCTGTATTCCGTATTTCAAGGGATTGGGCTTTCGGAGTTGTTCAGAGTTCACATCTTACAGTTGAGGGGTTGAGGTGATTGAGGGTTTCGGGGGCAAGGTGTAGCAGCCCAGACAGCGGCAAATGGAGGGAACGAACGGGAGTTGCAGACCAAATTCTACCTGCAGGACATCGGTAACCTTAAATCCGAAGCCCCAAGACCTTAACATTTTGTGGGATTCCTGCCGAAGACCGTTCTAAGTTCTGCGAAGGATGCTTCTGGCAACCCTCCATACCCTTGCTTTCCGAAAACCTTCCCTAAGCCCTTGGTAAACATTATACGGTACCCTACGTACACCCAAACCCAAACGAACCCAAAACCCTATGGGAAGCTGCAAATTTAAAGGGATCCATGTAGGCCCACCCAGACGGATCCTTGTAGAAACCCTAAACCTAAGTCAATAAAAATCAAGTGCCCCAGGGAGCCATCTCACGATTTGCGGCTGCCGAAGACCCCGCCTCACCCAGGCCCAAAGCTTTGGGGGCTTTCCGTTAAACGATTTTACTAAGCCTAAACCGCCAAATCCCTCAAATCCTAAACCCTTAAATCCATGAGAAAATCTAACTTTTCTTAAAATCAGAAACAAACAATTAAACTTAGTGCGTTTATGGCCGGGCTTCTAGACTGTGAGGCTTTGGGCTCGCAGGGTTCACAGCGTTCAAAGTTTAGGGTTTAGGGTTTAGGACACAAACAAAATCGTTCAAAGTTTAGGGGCTTCTGTTACGGCTTTCCATGTCTAGGCGTCTGGAGCTCGCTGAGTCTCAGCTGTGGACGCAGCCCCTTGCAAGGCGTTTATGCCAAGTGCCTGTGAGCTCTTTGTACACATGAACCCAATGCCGAGCTGTGTCTGCGAACTGTGAGCCCTTGCAACGCCTCTGTGAACTATGTGTACCTGTTTTCATAACACTTATCGCACCCTGCCACTCTTGTAGTACCTTTCTTGTACCCCATACACTACCCCCAAACCCTAAACCCCATGCCCTGAACCTCAAACCCTAAACCCTAAACCCCAATCCCCAAGTCCCCTAACCCTACACCCTAAACCCTAAACCCGCAGCCGTAACTATTAGCAACCCTTTATCGTACGGTTGATGATAGAAATCCTGCATTTCCCCATAATAGGGAATACACCATAATTCCCATAGTTTAGGGTCCTTAAGGTAACGCAGCCCTAAACCCTAAACCCTAAACCGTGATCATCCAGGGATTTATATCATCAACAGTATCTCTCCGAGCGGCTAAACGGACAGGAGGAGCCCGAGGAGTTTTCGGAGGCGGAGGAAAGCCGACCTCGCCGAGCGCACGGAGACTCCCAAAGACATCCCGGGTTTAGGGTTTAGGGTTCAGAGTTTAGGATTTCGGGTTTAGGGTTTAGGGTTCAAAGTTTAGGATTTCAGGTTTAGGGTTTCGGGTTCAGAGTTTGGGATTTCGGGTTTAGGGTTTAGGGTGTAGGGTTTAGGGCTTAGGCCCTAGATCAAACTTCAGATCTTAGGGTTTGCGGTTTCCTAAAAACCTTACACCTGACATCCTACGATCCTAGACCCAAGCATCAAGTATACTTTTCAAGTACTCATGGAAACCCTAAGCCCTAAACCCCTGAACCTTTAATCCTAAACACCTGAACCCTAAACTCCAAACCCTAAACCCCTAAACCCTTAACCCCTAAACCCTAAACCCCTAAACCCCAAACCCCTAAACCCCAAACCCGTAAACCCCTAAACCCCTAAACCCTAAAATGAAAAAATGCTATTGGTCTCCCGCCTGACAAAGCCGCGACGGCCACGGAGGCCGCGGCGGCCGTCGTCTGGCCGGCATCGCCTTGGCTTCCAACGCGGGTTTCGGAAAGCTAGGGGCCTAAGTTAGGGTTTAGGGTAGGGTTTGGGGCTGAGGGTTTAGGGGTTTAGGGTTTAGGGATTTGGGGTTTGGGGGTTTGGTGGTTTAGGGTAGGGTCTGGGGCTGAGGGCTTAGGGCTCATGGGGTTTAGGGGTTCAGGGTTTGGGGAAGAAGGATGGTCTTGAACTTGGAGGGGTCCTAAAATAAGGATCCCACGATTTAGACTTTAGGTTAGGGTTCGCCATTTCCTGAACCCTGAACCACCATGCAAATTTAGCAGCTCTTAGCGGATTTTGTTTGCTGGAAGGTCCGGGGTTCTGATTCACGGATGTTCCGGTTTAGAGGTTCGGGCTTAGGGTTTAGGTTTTAGGGCTTAGGGTTTCGGGTTTTAGGGTTTAGGGCTTAGGGTTTAGGGCCTTTAGGGCCGTTAAGCGTGGGGTGAAGTGCTCCACAGCCCACTCGGACTGCAAGATTTCAGGGCTTTGCAGGTAGTTGGAGTCTCATACGGCAGCCTCAAGAATCAGAGGGCGGGGGTTTAGGGTTTAGGGGTTTAGGGTTCAAGGGTTTAGGGTTTGGGGGTTATGGGGTTCAAGGGTTTAGGGTTTAGGGATATTCCAGTATAGCTATACGGGAACTAGAAAGGGGCATGAATGATCCAGGCCCCGCTCGATGTTGTGTCGGGCGTTTGCGTTCAGGTCCAAAACTGCTACTCGCCCAGACTACGAGCCCGGCATAGCCCTAGTTGCGGTCGACATCCCAAACCCAACCAAAAAAGGTGCAAAACCTCAATCGCACAGCCTACACCCGGAAGGCCCCAATACTAAGCCCTAAGTTACCCTAAGCCGTAAATCTTGCATCTGTGGGGCTTTGCGACCCCACGAACACCTTGCACGAATGCCCTCTGAGAACCCAAACCCTGAACCCTAAACCCCAAACCCTAAACCCTAAACCCGAAACCCTGCCTGATCTAGCGCGCAGGTTGACCAACTTCAGGGTGTTGGCGGTGTCAAAAACGAAGGGGCCGTCGTGGTCCTCCCGTGCTCTTACGTCGCATGTGCGGCTTCTCTGTCGTGGTTCAGACTCCGTGGGCTCATATATAAGGCCTCAGGGCCCCTGAACCCGAAACCCCAAACCCTAAACCCCTAAACCCTAAACCCTTAAAGCCCCTAAACCCTAAACCCTAAACTTCCTAAACCCGACATCCTACAGCCGAACCCGGGAGCCGAAGATGTGGGGTCAACATCCTACCGAGCCCGAAATCCCGAAGCAAGTTCCCAACAGTATTGCTGATGATCAGGGTTTAGGGTTTAGGGTTTAGGGTTCCCAACAGTTCTGCTGATGATCTAAACCCCGCATTACCTTAAGGCCCTAAACTACGGGGAATTATGGTACTATCCCTTACCATGGGTAATGAAGGATTTATATAATCAACCGTACGTCCTTTCTAGTCCCCGTATGATTCTACTAGCATATCCCCCAAAACCCAGCAGGAAACTAAACGGGAACTAAAGGGAAACATCCGCCAGAATCCCGAGGTTAACGATTTAGGTGTGTAGGGTTTCGGGTTTAGGGTGTGACCTCGGGTGAAATGACCTGACTAGAAACCGTTTTTTTTACGACTTGCGGGTTCTTTCTCATGTTCAGGCGGCCCCTCTAGAGAGGAGTCTTCATAACACTCATATCACGGATCCTACAACACAAGTTTTATTATCGGTGCCTTCCTCTTGCCACCAGGCTGCAAGCAGGATGTTGGGGACAGCATGTTCAAAAGTCATTCCCAACCCCTAAACCCCAAACCTTGTAAACCCCTACGAAGCCTTTTCAAACCCTAAAACCCGGCAAAGGAGTCCTCCGGCATCCTGTTGTCTGCTTCGTCGGTGACGAGATCCATGTCAAATCCTTGTTGGACGGAACTGATTGCCCTAAATCCTAAACTCTTATAGAACACTATAGAATCCTTTATAGATAAGGGTCTCCGGGTACTAGTATCCCCTCAAAGTCCTGGCTTGCCTTCTCAGGGTCGGTTGCAGGGGCGTTCTCATTTCGGTGCGAACCGAGAGAATGGAAGAAAACAAAAGGGTTTAGGGTTTAGGGGTTTAGGGTTTAGGGTTTAGGACTGCCCTAAGCAGTGCTACCCTATCCCCAACAGGGGTGCTTCTACCCATGTACAAGAAGCCATGAGCCCCTGTACGAACCCTGTACCTACCGCAAAGCCTGAGCCAGGAAACCCGGCGTTGCAGCCGAGGTGCTCATCACGAAAGAAGCCAGCAGCGCCGAGATCTGTGACCGCGCGTGCCTGAGGCATAGGCTTTGGGGAATTCAGATGTTGGGGGAAGTCTGGTGTTTGCTTGGAGGTTTGGGGTTCGAGGGGTTTTTACACCTCCTGAAAGCTTGAGGAAGTGAGAAATTCAAACCCTAAACCCTAAACCAAAAACACCTATGCTTTTGAACCCAATCCCAAGCCCCATACTGCAGCAAGAACCTACAAACCCTTGAGAACTCTCAACTAGCGGCTACAAGCTTCTAACATGCCCTTAGAAGCCCTGTGCAAAACCGACAAAAACTCACAGACTCTACCAAGCAGCCGAAGAAACTCTTAGAAAGACAACCTCCGGAACCCCCGAATAAGAAGCCCGTCAAAAAATTCTGCGCCCCTAGACCCTAAACCCTAAAACCTAAACCCTAAACCCTAAACCCTAAAACCTAAACCCTAAACCCTGAACCATCATCTCTAAACCCTCAACCGCCGAGCGGCAGCTCGCCAGTGCAGCGCTTTCGGCCGTGGCCGAAGGTCACGATCTCCCGGTCCATTGCCATCTTGTTGAAAGCCTTTGGGGGTAGTGGGACTTCTTTTTGAGCCTTTCATTTACTCCAGCCCTCGCTCCACAAACTACAGCAAGGCCGTCAAGTAGGCTTTAGGGTGCAGGGTGCAGGGATTTAGGGTTTAGGGATTAGGGATTAAGGATTAGGGTTTAGGGATTAGGGATTAAGGAATAGGGTTTAGGGTTTGGGGTTTGGGGTTTAGGGATTAGGGTCTGGGAGTTGATCTTATTGAAGGTTTCTCAGGGCTTTGGGTCTTCAGGCTCCGGGTTCAGGGCTGTGTCCCCCAAAGGCGCCGCCGTGTAGGATTTGGGGTTCGGTTTCGGGTTTAGGGTTTAGGGTTCAGGATTTAGGATTTGGGGTTCGGTTTCGGGTTTAGGGTTTAGGATTTGGGGTTCAAGGATGTTTGGGGCTTAAAGTTGGCGTTCTTCTTTCTGAAGGGTGTGAGCTCTAGGATTTAGGTTGGGACTTAGGATTTTGGGGTTTATGGGTGTCGGGTGAAGATGTCCTGGGCTCAAGGTCTGGAACTGCGGATGTAAGAATACTATACTGAACTTGGGACCCTAGCAAAACTTGTAATTGTTCAGCCATCTCTTTGGGGTTATAGTAACCAAACACATTTTTCATTCTTTCTTACCTACCCCTAAGAGGAGGGAGGCTTTGGGAGGTGGTGTTTAAGGTGTAGGCCATGGGTCAGCAAGGTGCTCAGGGCTTCCCCTGAGGTTCATGGACTCAGGATTACCTTAGAGAGACCCTGAACCCCAAACCCCAAGCC